TGTTTCAGATATTGTATAACTGTACAGCACAGAGTTCATTCACTGAATTCTTCATTGTTATAAAATGGGTCAACATTAATGTTCTGGTTCAGTCTCTTCTTACGGGAAGGTATTCCTGAATTCCTCATCAATGCTGTTCATCAGATATGATGCTAACTTCATGTTGAAGTTTATTTGTTTCCCTTTCTTTGGTTTGTAGACGCCACCGTTCTCCACAATAGATTTCAGTGTCTTGTGAAACGCGCCACCTTTTTTCCCTCTCTGAAATAGAAAACACACAACTTTCAACATGTTCATATGAAGTGCAACACAAGTGGTTTTGATGTAATTATGATTCAAATATGTACAGGCTGTAACATGGACTTCAAGGTTTTGTCACATGAAGTTCTGGATGTTTGAACCCCCTCTTTGAGGCACTTTTCAAACATGTCGTAAGCCTCTGCCATGGGTTTTCTGACTCTGATGAGTTCACGCCTCATGTTTTTTTCAAGGTCTGTGCACACTTCTGGTTTTTTGCCAGCCTGAAATTAAAAACAAACATTGCATTTATTTAAAGCAAACTATAAATACAACCTGACTACCAGATTTGAACTGGGTCTGTCAATGTCACTCTAGATAGTGATGAACTCCACTGTTTCAGATTTTGTTCAGATTTACTTGTTCTTTGGGACCCCACACTGAGAGTGTGATATATTTTCAGACATTTAAAATTTTGTAATTTCACTGTACTGTGCTCTTCTGGATAGATATCTTGCATATTGTTCTTGGGATGTGCTGAAGTCGCTCAGATCACCAGTGGGACCACTGTTGTCTTCACTTTCATATCTTTTCTAGCTTGTCTTTCAGTTCTTTGTAGCGTTCAAAGTTCTCATGTTCCTTCTTCTGGCATCACTTGGGATTACTACATCTATCACTACTACCAATTTCTGGTTGATTGGCCATCACCAGTTTATCAGTCTGGATTGCCAAGTCCCACAGGATCATGGCTCGATTGTTCTCTACCACCTTTGGAGGTGCTGTCCATTTTGGTCCTGGGACTTCCAGCCCATACCCGGTGCAGATGTTTCTGTATACTATGGCGGCTGTTTGATTATGGCTCCAGGTATGCTGTGCTGCCTGCATCTTATGGCTACTGGCGTGCTGTACTGTCTCAGGTGCATCTTTGCACAGCCTACAGCTGAAGTCCTGTCTCGTATGGTAGACTCCGGCCTCTATGGATCTTATGCTCAGTGTCTGTTCTTGTGCTGCCATGATTAGTGCCTCTGTGCTGTTTTCTTGATATCAGTCACTTCTTCTGTCTATTGGTGAGACAGGCCATGCAGAGACTTCTCCTTCCATGATGTTCCTTCCTCCTCTTCCTCCTCCTCCTTATCAGGTTTCTGCTGCCTGAGGTAGTCGTGTAGGAGGTCGTCAGTGTACAGTCTCTGGGTGTTGGACTTGGGGTGAAACCCTCCATGCATTGTGAGATGCTTCCTTGTCTTGACGTCACTGGCCTCTATCGCTTCCTTTGGTCAGGTCTATACCAGTGGGGTATGTGATCACCGGCAGGGTGTAGGTGTTCATGGCTCATGTCTTGTTCTGTCCATTCAGCCAACTTTTCCTCACTCTATGCAGGCATTGGCTGTGGCTGACTTCCTTGCAGTCATTTCATGGTTTACATTTGCCTGAGGGACTCAAAGGCATTTGTCGTTGAATGTCTGTTGTTGCCTTCTGGAAGTTCAGCCCCTTCAATGGTGATCATCCTGTCCCACCTAGATATCATGCGACCGCACTTGTCCAGTCCAAATGGCATCTCAACTTTGTTTCTGTAGATCCTGGTGATATGGATCAGTGGGACAATGTCTTGCTCATGTTGGGCATACAGCTTGATTTCTTCCATGCAGAGGAGGTGGCTGACAGGCCTATGCAGAACAGCAGGGGGGCAGAGCACCTCCTTGGTATATTCTGCACTTGATGCTAATTTGTGCAATTGGCCTTGATTGGCCTCTACTGTTGTTTTCCACAGTCCCATTGAGTTCTCGATGAAGGCTCCTAGTGTCCTGTTGATGTTGTACAGATCCAAACACTCCAGTATCCGTGTGGCACTGAGTCGTCGTCTTTCTTGTAGTGCACAGATGAGTTTTTCTGGTCTTACAGTCTGGAGTGACTGCTCTGTTGATCAGTAGCTGTACTTAGCTCCCCTGGTGTTACCAACTCCTGTCTGGGCCCTGCTAATGTATTGAAACATTTACCTACACATCTTAGCTGCAAAGATGCCTGACAGTAGCTCCCATGTTGTTCAGAGGCAGGTTATTGGCATGGAATTGGACGGGGTTGATCCATTCTGGGGATCCTTCATTAACAGGACCATCCAGCCTTGTGTTAATCATTCTGGGTGGGTCCCATCCATTAGCAGCTGGTTCATTCGTGCAGCCAGTCATCCTTGGAGTGCAGTTAGCTTCGTCAGCCAGTAGGTGTGGATCATGTTAGGGCCTAGAGCTGTCCAGCTTGACAGTCTCAACACTCTCTGAGTCTGATCTGTGACAGCTGTGTTTCCTGGTTAGTTCTTTCTTAATCATATCTTACTGTAGTTCTGAAAGCTGGCTAACTTCCCTCCTTGTGTTTTTATCTTGGCCTCCTTCTCCATAGGGGATGCTGCTTCTTATGGCATATGGTGTTCTTAGCCAAACATCTCTGTGATTGCTGTTGCTGTTACGTATGCCAACCTATCAGTCTCAGTGATGGAGTACAGACCGTAAAGATTCACATCTTCTTGCAGATTGTTCATCTGTCCTTTTTCTTAGCCGGGGTGAACGGTAACTACAGGTATTTAGCATTGTTATGATCGTTAGTCTCAGGTCAACTGACCTTTGTGTTAAGGTTATATAAGCTTGTGGTTATTGAGGCTTGGAACCCAGTCTCAGAGTGGAGGGATGATGATGGTATCTGCCCCCTTACCTGTCGTCCTGATTCCCCCCTTGCCACAGCATCTTTGTTATACCTCATCCATCTCGAGTTGTGACAGCAGTTTATGTTTATCGATACTGGAACAATGAGCCTTGAAGTTGCTAGCTTAGATGTTGGGCTTCAAAGTATGCGTAGGTCCCACACTCTCTGCATACATCCCCTATCACTGGGATTGCTTGTATAGTAACATTCCAACAGTTCCATATTCTCTGCCCTAGTCCATGAATGTCTTGTTCCAGTAGCCCACTACTCATCAGGCTGCCCTGATTCTCCAACATCTGATGCAGACCTTGTTAACCCTTGCAACGCCAGAGCCAGTATGGCTCTTATAATTATTGTACCACTAATATCTGAGGGAAGATTTTCAGTATTAAGGATGTTGCCTAAGGGCCTACGCTAGACTTGCCACACCCAAGTTTGCCAAGTTTTTACTTAAACTGACTTATGTGCACTGGAACCTATTTCTTTAGTTACAAATAATAATATTCTTTTCCGTTCATATTAAGAACAGTTTTAACAACCAAAGCCAATGAAAAAGGTTTTCATTACTTAATCTTACCACTTCTCTACGGCTGGCACCATGCATCAAAGAGAGAATCCCAAAAGCTCCAGACACATAGTTTAACGTCTCTGAGTGACAGTCATTGAGATCTTGCAAAAAATCCTGAAGTTTTGGTATTTCTGTCAGAAAAAAAGCCGTTTGCTTGGTACACTCTTACATTACATGCATCAAAATTTAAAAAGTCCATTTCGTTAGTCTTGTTTAAATTAAAGTGGTAAAAGTATACGAAAACAAAACATGTATTTGAGCTACATGTTTTCTGTTACCTACAAAGTGTTCACATATGGAGACTTCACCTACCAGTGTCCTCTGGATTCAGACGTTTTCCTTTCAGGAACTCTTTGGAGCTCACTGTGAACACCTCGAGGCAGTCATCTTGGAAGTGTTTCTAAAGAAAACAGGATTAAAGGGATGCTTGCACTTGTAAACAATCTTAGATTTTGTGTCAGACTATAAAACTCACCTTAACCTTGTTTAGTTTGTGGAATTCTTTCCTCACTACCTCCTTGACTTCCATGTTTCTTTGAAATATGCGAGCATGAATATCAGCTGTTGAACTATAAGAAAGGATATGTGATATGACAGTATTATATAGATCCATTTATCTTTGAACTCTTGGCCACCACATGCATCAGGGTCTAATCTGTATGTTTTATTTAACTATGCACTTTTGCTATCCTAATTCACTTACTGATCATCTGGATCTTCAATGAGATCAGACTTGGTGCAGATGAAGTGGATTTGCTGACACTTGCCACCGTTTCCCATGAGACTACTGGCACTTTTCAAGATCTCCCAGGGTTCTTTCTCTGCTGCTGCTCGATTGATTTCAGTCACGATCCACACAGTAGAACAGTCTCCAACAATCTGAGGGTCACAATAGCATGTTAGTCATGACCATCAGTCTCACCATCAGTAAAAAGATGCCAGTAGAGTTTCCATATAAGACAGTAATGTTTAATTAGCAGCAGTGGATGTGAGTAAATTACCCCTTTCCACATTTTATCTCTGCTCTTGTTGCGGTCACCGTTTCCAGGAAGGTCCACCAGTGTGACGTGTTGGAGAAGATCATTATTTGGCACCTTGACAGTCACACACTTCACCAGTGGCCAATAACACCTCGGTACTTCTTTACCTTGTCTGTCACTGAACTCACTTCTTGTGTATTTGACTAATTTTGCAGATAGCTCTTTGGCCTGCAAATAAATGATAAAAGGTTAGGTAATACAGGGCAATTTCATTATTCGCTTAAAATGAAGGTTAATCATTAACCTTTCCATTTATTCAACAAAAATATCATCAGATCTATTATTCTGTGGAAAAGGTAAGAACAATCTTGGCCTCACAAGCTAATCTTGGTCCCTTTAGCAGAAATGTCCTCTTTCAGACATTATGCATTCTTGTCCACCACACTGGCATCAGCGTTTTGAAAATGGTCTTCCACAAAAATAGCATCTGTTGCAAGGCGTTGGCTGGATTTGCATGTACTGCCACACAACAAATGGCGTACATTCAAATCAGGGCTTTGACGGGCTTTTTTTAGTGTGGCCGACGGACTTTATCTTTACTTCATCTGCCTTCAGCACATTACTCCAAAACGCTTGGCGTGTGCCTCGGCGTACACTGCTGAAGTGCTGTTTTGCTCTAATGTTGTGGCACGACTTCCAGTTCGTACCATATCTTTCTGAGTGTAGACACATACAGGCTTCCACCAACAGTTCCAGAGTTGCTTTCAAACTGGACAGCTTAAACTACAAACCTCAGTAACTACAAATTTATAACATTTCACTCCATCAGACTGACAACACGTCTTTCTATGAAGTAATACATCTTTCACTTCTTACCGATTCACACGTCAGAGTCTTCTTCCTGGACTGGAGGAACTCTGGAATTTCTCTGAAGTATTTGTTGTCCACGAGGATTTCAGGGGATTTGTTTTTCCATTCATCATACAGCGCTGACAGCTTTTCAGCAATGTCACGATAATCATCATCATCATCATCATCATTGTCATCATCATCGCCATCATCTTCGTCCGGATGTGCTTTATCTCCAAGAAACTGATACATTGACCACAACTCATCTTTCCACTCCTAAAAAGCAAAGAACAATTACATATTTGCTTCACTAAATGGCATGCAGCATAACCAGGAACTGTCTGATATTCACAGCTCGGTTTACCTCGGTTGTGATGAACTCAATGTCTGCTTCATACTTTGAGTTGCGCATGTTTGCCTCCACTTGAATCATGACTGAGGTACATGCACTGACACTTCCAGAGGGCAGCAGATCCTTCTGTCCAATGATGGCGTTTATCAGAGAGCTCTTTCCAGCCCCAGTTTTACCAAAGACACCGATCAGTTCCCTCTTGTCTTGCTCCAAATCACAGATTTTATTCCTGTTAAGAGTTTCAATGAGTTAATTGAGTCATTGGCGAAATATACAAACACTTAAAATCTGTGTCAAAATCAAGCAGACATCTGCCTGTGACCTGCCTGCTGAAGCCTCCTTTAGAAGTGGTGATATTTAATGTTTTATAACAAACAGTGCCTTCAGAGACTCCATGGATGTGAAAGAAGATACACATGGAGACAAATACACACTGAATAATTACCAGATTTTGCATTTTCCATTAGTTTTATGCCATTGCTTTGGTTTTTCTGGGTCACATATTTCTGGGTCACTCTTCGTACTCTGAATCTCCTTTAGATGGAGCAAGCATTCAAAATGAGGGCATTTAGCAACTAGAGAGCCAGATGTTTTCTTTGGGAATTAGTGTACATCAAGTGTGTCTGTGCATACCACGGTGGTCTTGAGTTTCCATGACTTCTATAATTCAGAGTTTTCTTTAATGGATTCACTGAAACCAGTTCATGCATTTTTGGTTCTTTTTCTAAAAGACTGTAGCTACTGGGTGGAAAACAGCAACTTGAATTATCAGTTTTGAGTGATGTACAAAGCTGTATTATTCCTATCTTCTTAGTGGCATGACGTCTGAAGTTTTTATGAGTGATTACGACTGACTACAGCTGGTGACTCCTCTGAGTCATTTCACATAGGGCCCATTTAATACACTCATTGGAAACACTAGAGTGGGAAAGTCTGAGGGGTTCAGCAAAAACGCAAATCATTGATTGAAGCAGGTACAGATCCCAAAATCAAATGTTTATAAGTATAAAGTTCATGGTACAGGTGTGATCTGCCATGATCTGGGAGAAAACACAAATTAGTCAACCAGGAATCAGCAGAAAGCAGCTCTGGATGGACCAGAAGCTGCTGGAACACAGCTGTCAGTGTCCACAGGGTCTGACATCAACATGAGCTGAGAGGCTGATGGAGAAGGAAGTTCTTCCTCTGGAAGCAGAACCTTAAAGCTCCACTGAAGTCTGCTGCTGGTCACATGGACAAAGAAAAGGCCTTCTGGAGGAAAGTTCTGGTCAGATGGAACCAACATTGAGCAGAACCATGTCTGGAGGAGAGAAGGTGAGGCCTTTAACCCCAAGAACACCAAACCTACCATCAGGCATGGAGGTGACAGCATCATGCTCTTGTTCTGTTCTGCTACCAGTGGACCTGGAGTTTTACACAAAGTAGTTTGAACAATGAAGAAGGAGGATCACCTCCACGATCTTCAGGAAAATCTAATTCAAGTAACAGTGTATGACGGGTTCTGGAGCAAATACTTTTCATCATTTTGATCTTGTGTAATGTTTGTTGTCAGGACTCTCTCGCACAAGAGACTTTAATCTCAGTGCAAACAAATCAAAGCTAATGCTAACTTTGGTGAACTGTTGTAAATAAACTAAAGACAAACTCTTTGTGGTGTCTCTGTAGATCTGGTACAAGGTCAGGTGTAGACCAGGGAAATCTTAATACTCACTTCAGGAACGCATTGAGCTTTGTGTTGTCTTGGCTGTGTAGTCTTGCAAGGACACATCCCATTATGTTCTTCACATCAGACAGTATGATTGATTCTGTTGGTGTATAAATAAGGAAGTATTTAGCAGGAAGCATGAACCAGTGTTTCTAATCACTGCACAGTGTGGCGTACCTTCAAAAAAGAAAGAGACATGAGAGGAATCTTCTCTACAAAGTAAATGTAGGATGCCTCAGAGTGTACCATACTTCAGCCACTTATAAATGAATTTAATATCTACTTATATGCATGCTGTCGACTGTTTGGATGTGATCTTATTAAAGTGAGAAAGCATATGCATTGCAGAGAAGTCTAACTCAGAAGTCGTCTGTGGGTTGTTCAGACAGAAATGTAATTACCTGTGTATGACTGTGATATAGTGTCACGCTGTCGTTTCTTTGGTTGCTGCCATTTGCTGGATTCTCCTTGAAAATCCAACTTTCTCTTTCCTTGTTGGACAAAAAAGTTAGCTTTGTGTCCCTGTTCTACAATACTGACATATTTCAGTACAGTTTTTTAGAGTATTTTATAATCAATAAGTTGCTGTGTATCTCACCTGTAGCACTTGTGGATGGCAAAACCTGCAGATGAACATAACTATTTGTTAAACAGAATTTAACCAAGAAACAACGCAAGATATCCTAGCTATTCACACTGAGTCCAGAGATGATTAACAAGTGGTTATATTCAACACCCTCACTGGTCAGTCAACAGGGATCCAGGTTAGTGTCTCAAATGCACATTCATGCAGAATGAAAGCATGTTCACTCATCACGCCTGGAAGATTCAGAGTCTTCCTTACCTGAGCTGAATCAGCTTGTTGCTCATGTTGACTCTGCAGATACCATTTAATGCAAAGTCATGCAAACGTTTGAGCAGATAATGAAAATATGTGTATAATAGATCATATGTGATCAGTATGAAACTGTGATGAACTTACTGGAACAGGAACATCAGCTGCTTCCTGATTTGAGCTTTGTTCTTCCTAGCGACAAAGCGGTGAATGATTATTGTCGACGAGGTAATCTTTTTGTTCGTAGACACCATCATAAATGTATAAGAAGTTTATGACATCAAATGTAAATGCAGAAATAAAAAAAATAACAAAGCACATTACCTTTAACCTCTGGAGTTTTTCCTTGAATTTGACTCTTGGTCCCGTTTTTGTGATCAAGTTTTTAATTTCTTGATCATCAAGATAATACAGACTTTCCTTGTCAATGCCTTCATCTGGATTTTTAAAAATATTTAGTTATATCTTTGTCATTCATGAATAATATATATTTTTTTGGAATTGCTGCAGAACATGTGTGGACACAGCTGGTAATGATTCAGTGGTTGTATGAGCTGAATGCATCTGAATTCTCTTGTACTGTAGCTTCATTTAACAGCCTCCAAGACGTCTCTGCTTGTTCAGTGTGATCATGTACAAATGATTCATCATCAGCATTTTGTTCACTCCCAGATGAGAACTATACAACCAGCAGAATAATGCTGCAGCATTTTAATGTCTGTATGAGTAGATGTTATCTTTCATTATATCACATCAGTATTATAAAACATCTGCAGCCAGCAAGAATATACAGTAAAACTTTACCTTCAAATCTATCAATGAAGTCACTAAGATCCCATTCAGTCAGTTTGTTACGAACAAAGTCATCCATGACCAAGACCAGGAACTGAAAGATAGATTATGATGTTGATCGATCATTACTGCTCAACATTTCAGAGTGTAATGATTAATTAAGCCTTAAATGCATTTACATGGAGCTTGTAGAGGAAGATGAATCAGTACTGAGCTGTGATTAAAAGTTAAACGGTTCACCTGATGTTGAAGGTAATGCAGACCAGAGCAGGTGAGGAGTTCAGGAGGGCGACGTCAGTAGAGAGACACAGACCTGCAGCAGGCAGACAAAGACGTCAGAACACAGCAGCAACAGACACAGTTCAAA